TACATTGTGTATATCCCTTTGAGGAAGGTATTATAAAAAGTGGACTTGTTAAGTAATAAATACCTTACTTGTATAATAAGTATTTAACTATTATATCTATTTAATAAAATCCTTATTATGTACTCAGTGTTGTTTGTCTTCCTACATTTAAAAATAAATGTTTTTCAAAATGCATTGATTGCATGCCTTGAAGGCTTAAATTTGGTCTTCCGCAAGCTTCAATCCAATTTTGAAGTTCATGTTCATGTGATGAAAATCTAAAATATAAACACAATTACTAAAACACTTTTTTTTAATTTCATATTTTAATTTGAAAAATTGAGGTCATCATTATGATAATAATATGATTGTCATATGGAATAACAATATTTTATGAAGAAAAAACACATTTGACCGAAATTTATTGATAAAATTAGTAATATTATCTACTATAAACTCAAACATTTCTAACCAAATACATAGCACAATTTTTAGTGATTCTAAATACAGAAATGATATTCAATTAAGTCTAGAAGATGTAATTTAACATTACATTACAGTAAATTAAGCGGTATTTTAATATAATCATGCAAAACTTTACTGATAGGCTTTAAAGGCTAATATTTTAGGTTACAAACTTGGATTTATTTTAATCAAAAGTTTAAAAACTGCCCAATTGTTTTTTAAATCGCATTTTGTAGTTCTATGTACTTAGAAAATAGTTGAGTTTCAAACATTTTGATATTTGTTTAACAGAATATTGATAATTTAATTTTAAAGCACTTTGAGGGGAGATTTTAAGCACTTAGATGTCAGCCTTAATGATTTGAGGTTATATTCTTATGCAACTTATTTAATAATATTTTTAGCTTGTTTTGTGTCGTATTTAATAAAATTCACATCGGTTATGGCAATGAGAAATTTTACCTTGACGAAGAAATAAACAAAATGCTTCTAACTTACCTGAAATATGATACACCTACAATATTTCTTTCGGATCTATTTTTGCAAGATATAACACTGCACTTAACCATTATTTTAATTTGCAAATAACGTTTCTTAATTATTAACTCTATACATCATATAAAATATTGTTAAAATACACTTCTTTCCAACTTTTTTCTATATTATTTGATTCCATCAATTTCTATGAATAAAATTTTGACGTTTTGGTGCCAAACAAGCCTGGTGCCAAACAAAAAAACCGGCCACATCGATAAGGACAACAAATAATGTTTTTATCTCACTTTAACTAATGAAAATTGAAGGGTATGTTCCGATATACACTGCGACCACTGAACAGTATGACGTCAATTTAGTATACTGGAAGCCCGTTCCTTTATAGCTAGTTATACTGGTGACTTTTTAAAACGGAACGCAGTCCAGTATACCGTTAATCCTATTTTTGGCGCCATTTTCAAATTTGTTAATGCAAGGTGAATATAAATATAAAGATTCCCTCTTTTCAAAAGAAAATATTATAAAATTGGAAAATTGTATAAAAAAATTATTTATCAATTAAATCCATCTTATAATAAACGCAAGTATTTTATTTTATCTGTTGCGACTGATCACGTGGTCAAAAGCACTGCGAGCACCTTACCTCGAAATCTCCAGTGCTCAATTTCCCTACGGTACTGTAGCAGTATACTGGCAGTCCATAACTGAACGGATTTTTCAGCAGTAAGACCACTGCGCAGTGCTCGCAGTGTATATCGGAACATACCCGTAATAAGTCATTTCATTTCCCGATGAATGTGATAGAACATACCATTAGTCTATTGCTTTCTCTGTCTACGCGTATTGTTTTTTACACAGACCAATAAGAGAACTAGTTTTTTTAAGCACAGACCATAGAGATAAGGTAGAGTGGAAATATTTTCTATGGTTATATAAATATCATGCAATCTGAAGTTGACATCGAAATCATCATGTTGTCTCTTTTTAACTAATAAGAAGTTTCTTTAGTAAACAAAGATCGCACTAGTGTGACAGTTCAAAAATTTTTACGTGACGTCTGAGATATAGCTATCGTACCACCTGTCCGCCATTTGCAAAGTAGCAGTGCGTATTCTCGGAAGTAGTTCAGCTGTCAGTGTTATAAGTTTTGTGGTTATTTTCATTTATAACTTTAATTACTATAACTTTCATGCCAGAAAATTGTAAATTATTTATGCAAAACAATTCCTAGGTGCTGTGTAATTGGTTGTGCGTCATCGATATCCCGCAAACCGAGCAATATTTCGTTTCACCGGTAAGTTAAACACTTTCTTGGAAAAACAGTATTCAAAACGTAAGTAAGTAATTCTGAAATTGATTGCGTGTATAAATCGATACATATCGTATTTTGGCGTGTTCTATTTATGCTATATTGCTCTTTTTGTTTATATTTTTATAATATTACGGTCCGTAAACAATGTTGTTTACATGGCTAGTGTTGTTACTTTAACATTTGGTTTATATCGATAATTTTAATATTTAAAAATATATTAATTATTTTAGATTACCAAAACATGAAACAAAAGGGGAAAATGGCCGAGTTACATTGGAGCAGAAAATATTAAATATAATGAAAAAGTTACTTTTATCTGCTCACTTCATTTTAGGGAAAGTTGTTTGAATCGAACTTTAAATATAATAAAATTACGAGATGATGCATTGCCAATCAAATACTCTGGTAAGAATTTTTGACAATTGCTTTTAACTTAATTTAAAAAAAAATTGTCTATTACACTTAGTTAATTTTCATTTGATTTTACTGATTTATTTATTTCGTTTTTATATAGTCATTTTGTTATTCTATAAATGTACCTTATTTTTAGTCTTGCGGTCATATGACGACTAATTTAATTGAAAAAAATCAGAATGCAATGTATAATAATATTAAAATATAAAATTCTGATCATAATATACTCCCAGTAAAATATACAATAAAATGAGTTAAATAATTTTAATAAAAATTGAAATATGCACACTTATCAAATTAAAGGCATATATAAAGGTTTTCTTTGCTGTTCAATAGTAGAATCTTAATACCCAAATAATTATTTGGCGGCGTGGATGTTTATTTTGCTGATGCATCATAAAATACGCTACCTTTTTGTATTTAAATTGCTGACCGTTATCATGATTGTTCACAGAACATGAATTGCAGACTGTTTTAGTGCTGAGAAAATATTTATATGCTTGCCCACTGATTTATCGGCTGTTTTCTTTTTGCTTCCAAATTTTTAAATAAAATGCCAATTGTTACTTCTTTAATAAATAATTTCACTTTTTCATCTACCAACTTTGTTTTCTTTATTTTCTCTTGTTTATTCATCAAAGTTTACAGTATCTTTATGTTCTTTTACAAATAATATAATACAAAGATTATGTAGGTGTTTCAAGTTTTCTATGTTTACTACTAAATAAGATGTTTTGAACTAAAATTGTGACACAGTACGCACGGTATCTCACTTATTAAGGGGTAAGCGAAATTTATTCAGTCAATACAATTTATTGAATAAATTTATAGACAAGTTGGCTTACTAGTTACAAGCATATAAGAAAGTCGAAACTCTGTGCTTAAAGTTCGGCAATCTATTACGGGAAACCTTGTACCGAGAAAAGAAGAAGAGGAACCGGTAAGAAACTGCAAGTGCTGCTTTTGCACCCTGTTTAATTTCGTACTGAAAAATAAAAAATGACTTCATTGGACCAAAATGCCACTTTCCACCAAAACAAAATATATATAACAGACAAAAAAAAACATAATAATTAATTCGTCAATCGACTCATTTAAAGCTTATTATAGTTACCGTGGTAGTTATCTTGGACAGTGGTCACACTTCCCGTGGATGCAAAATTAAACTTTTTAATTATAATTGCAAAATGTCAACTTTACAATATATATGGAAATAATTATAAAACACGATTGATATTATTGTAAAACTTTTAAGATATATAATTTTCCTAAAACTATGTAAAATTGTCTAGAGGAAAAAGAAACATATTTATCGAGGTACAATCATATTATAAAATAATATTTATACAATATAAAAAGGTTTGTGAGGATGGATGTTGGTAAAACATCGATATTGACATCGAAGTCAACATTCTATGAAAACCATCGATGTTCCCCAAACATCGATTGCGTTGCTGTTAAAAGAATTGACCCGCTTTAGAAAAAAGCCTCTCTGAGGCCTTGGAAGTAAATATTTTAATGCAATCGTTTTTAATGTGGGATAGGTGGATTCTACCCCTTATCATAAAAGTAATGGAATAAGACAAGTGTCATAAAAAAATCACGCGGGAGTTTCACGGAGAGAGAACGAGCCCAACGAACATAAAGTAACTTTTTTTTTTATATATATTGTCTCAACAGTTGGAGGCAGATGCGTGAAGCAGAATATTTAGTTGTATGCAATCGTGACTATGAAAGGGTACAAACAAAATTAAATTTAATTCGTTATGGCAAAATTGAGCTTAGAAACTACATAAAACTATTTTTTAGTAATATAATGATTATTCATTTAATATTGAATATCAAAGAAATGTTTAGTAGAACATTTGTACTGCATCGAATTGTTATCAGTGTAATATATATATATATATATATATATATATTATAAATGAATGATTTATTTATATCACATTATTTCACACAAACTAGGAATTTGCGGCGGGTTTTAGCTCTCTTTTGTTCTTTTGTATTTAGTAACATGTAAAAATTTGGTCACTCATCTAATTCGTAGATCAAACGAGCTAACCACTCGGCATTCCTCATTATGCCCAATGCGGATAAGTGATACTAAAGCATAGGTATTCTTAGCGGATGAAATCAATCTACCCAATCATTCGTACTGGGACTCACTCATTCTTCACAAAATTCTCACTTAATCAAAAAGTTATTGTCTCCCTATTAGAAAGAGACAAATAACCTTTGTACTTGATATCTCAGGAGTACTCTGTCCCGTTATACGTACTAAGTCCATTAAGACTTGACGATAGCTTGCACCATAAAGACCATTAAACGAGGCTGTATGGATGAAAGTCCTTTCCTTACCCCGAAAGTGTGAACAAACGAAAAAAAATGACAGCTATTATCCAACAAGACAAAAACAAAGTGAAATTCTCGTTTCATGTAATAATATAAATTTGATCGTTGCTATTTTAAATGGAAGGAATTTTGTGGAAATGGACAAATTACTGGAATGGTTTGTATTATTAAATATTGCCATACATTATTGACTCCGCATTTTATTAAAAAATTTAATGTTATAACTTAGGTTGGCAAACAAGGTGGTTTATATTAGAAAATGGTATTCTCTCATATTACAAATCTCAAGAAGAAGTTAATCAAGGATGCAAGGGGTCAGTGAAAGTATCAGTTTGCCAAATAAATGGTAAGTGTAATAGTATATAGATAAACATTCCTAGTTTCATCTCTCTACCGTTTAAGATATATGTCAATTTATCACCAACATAATTAGTTAATGTTTCACTAACACCTAAGAAAACTGAATTTCCCTTTTACTAGTTGCTGAAGTTATGTCATTAGTGTTATCACTTTATAATATTTTATTCAAACTAATTGATTGCAGTTAACAATATTGATAATACACGTTTGGATCTAGTAATACCAGGACAGCAACACATGTATTTGAGAGCACCATCACCTCAAGATAGACAAAAGTGGCTTGTTGCATTGGGAAGTGCCAAAGCATGTGTCAATTCGAAAGGAGAGTCTACAGGTAGCCATCTTATTAGATAAAAATAACCTTCTATTTCTATCAGTTGCTTATTAATGTCAGTAGTCTGTCAATTTTTCTAATTTTAATGTACTCGTTTCATGTTTTTTTTATTAATTGCATTTTCTACTATCATGGATGACATACTCTTTTGTTTTGTCCCATAAAAGCTGCTGCTTTTAATATGCATGTAATTATGTTAAAATAAACAGAACTCAGTCACTTTGACATAGTCCTTCACAATAAAAGAAACACAATTAAAGGAAAAGTGGGCTGTAATTCACATAGACCTATGAGTTATTTGTTTTATAGGTGGACAAACTGCTTAACATGCCTTTAACATGGTACATTGTTGATCATAAACTTTGTCACTGAATCTCTGGTTACAAACATCATAAAGAGTACTGTAGTTTATCATAAAATTGCATATTAGATAATATATACAATTAAGTCTTACGTTTTCTCAATGAAAATGAATAAGTAAATAACATTAATCAAGAATTTAAGTCTGAAATTGATCAACTAAGTATTTGATGGTGTGTTACAGTTACAGTATTTGATGATACCAATTCTTTGAGTCATAAGAAATCTGAATTGAGACTTTATTGTGACCTCATGATGCAACAAGTACATGCTGTAAAAAGTGCAGTTACCACGGAAAATGGTCCTGACATACAGGTAATCAATATTATTTAGTATTATGCTTTGTATAAGAAACCAAATACATCCACATAAAAGTATTACCAGAAATATTACTTGCTTTAGTGTAACAGACTAACTGCCAGTTGCACAAATGTCCATTAAAACAGTCATTAGTTTATAGCGACATTACCAATACAAATTGGACATGTATTAGATCTTAAAGGCGTCATTAAACCTTAATGGAGGTTTGTGCAACTGACCGTAAAAATCATTGTCATTGCATTATTATTTAAGTTAATAAATTTAATGTAGGTATGCAAGTTGTTAGTTGTGCTTAAATGTTATTCTTTTTCAGAACATGGATGATGCTACAAGTCTACTCACTGCTACTTGTGATACTTTCATTAGAACCTTGGAAGATATAATGAGAATTACAAGCGGAAGTATAACTTATGAAATGCCTGTTCTGAACATTGCGGTGCCGAAAAATAACATCACTAATAAATCACAACCTAATAATAAGACCCCTAGACAGAGTCTCAGTAGATCGTTGTCTCAAGAAAACAGATGAAAAGTGAAAAGTAAATAATATATATTATTTAAAATTATAGTGCTGATGTGATTGTTTTGTATTATTAATTTGCAAATGGAAAATAATTTTGTGTAATGTTGTTCAATGTTACTACTTGTACAAAAAAGAAAAATGTTTTGTACCACTTAAATAAATAGCAACCAAACAAAATACAGTATACCTATTTCACAGACGCAAGTCTAGCATAGGCACTTGCCTATATTTTTTTTGTTAAAGTGTATAGTGAAATAATGTGCAATCTATTCTTTTTCTTTAGAAATGTGATAAAATTATGTCACTATAAAAAGATTATTTTTAAAATTAATAATACCTTTAATTACTATTTATTTCAATCATTAACTCACCACTACACAAATATTGAAACTATGTAATTCTATTTAAAGTGGGTACTCTGTGTAGTACTGATTTTAGTGTAATCAAATTATTTGATTTATAGTTTATATTATCAGTTTAAATATCAAGAGACCTATTATATGAGGACTAGTACTATGAATTATGGCAGTTTATGAAGCTATGATACTGATTGAAACATGTTGAGTCAGAATGTTAATTTAAAAGGAAACTCATTTTACGACATGGGCGGTAGTATATATGGTAGATGGTTATTATTATTTAAATTATGCTGTGATATGTTGTATTGCTGTAATAAATGTCTTATTTATTGAAATAGAAATTTCGAATTAATTTGGAAAATCTATCAACTGTCTCTCTGAAGTATGCGAGCGACGGAATATCCGTAGTTTGCAAGGTTGAATGTCATATAATAAATTTGTCAGTACTGACACTTATCCTTAACATTGTTTTAGATAGAACTTTTCATGGGTTTGTAAAAGAATTTGTCTTTGGAACGTATGTTATTATTAGTATATAATTAATCCAATTTTCATCATCTCTATATTACAAGTGATATGGTAAAGCTGTTTAAAATGACAAGTTATTTAAAGGGACTGGCCTTAATAAAATGTCCACTTTATAGTCATGTGAGCCATGTGTTTTATTTTTGGTAGTGTTATCTTGCTAGCAATGATAGAGGAATAGGTAGTGTATTATAGGTATTTTGGTTGTATTTGATTTTTCTAATTTATAATTTTCACTTTGTTTTTAAATATACATAGAATAATAGCAATACTGACGTATTGTCTAGTCGTTTTGGCTATCAATAGACGGTGCTTATTCTTAATTAATGATTATTTTCTTCTTTATCAATCTCAAGTCTTTAATGTTAATATGTTTTGAGTTTACAATATTATAAGTACCATAATTGACTGTGCATTTGGTTAATATTGCATTAAAAATAGTTTTTCATTATTATTAAAAAGTGATAACCGGACATTATTTAATAAAAGGAAGAAACTTATAACATTAGCGCAATCTGTTCATAGTATTTGAAACGCGACTATCAGCTTAAAATAAAATTGGTAAAAATAAGCTCTGTCAAAATTAAACAAGACTAGATAATTATCGAGTGTCAGGTACAAAAGTATCAAAAGCAATGGCCATTTTTGTACTTTTGTGGATGATCAATGCACCAGAAATACATAATTTAATAATTACTCTCAATTTGCCCTACCTATTCCTATAGTTTCTTATTTTATTTGGTAGTATTTATAAAATGTATGAACTTATGTCATTCCATTATTCATATTCTTGATAAGTGACATTTGCTGCTGTGAAATGGTTCAGTAAAATATATTTTACAGAATAACACTTTTATTTATTTAATAATCGTAACATAACATATCACATAATCCAATGAAAGCTATCCAAATCTTAATACACTTTTATTTTGACTGTTTAATTCCATACCCATTTTAGTTCTCATGTAAAATATAGTACAATCTCTGTTTGTACAAAGAACTTCCTCATGGAGACTGCCTTGACACCTTTGACATTCAGTCCATAGTCTAGAAAACTTTTCTTCAAGTTGTCTTAATTTGAATACTTCTGTTATGTACAGTTTTCCTTCTTTCTCCAAACAATGGTTACACAAAGCTCCTTTTGAATCGTTTGGCATGACAGTTTTGCAACCTAGACACTTTTCTTTCTTTTTAGTGAATGCTGCTAAAGCTCCAACTTTAGATGTGACCATAGCTTGGGTACGAGTATGTTCACCCTTGAGCAGAAGTGATTCTGCTTTTTCTCCAAGAATAGGTTCGAAAATTCGCAGCAATGGTTTAGCTAATTGATTTTCCATATAGTAGTGAAAATCTATAGGTATACTGTTTTGCAAAACGTAAATAGGGTCCTCTGCTTTCATATAAGCAGGTGTATTTTTAGCAGCACAACATAGTACATAAGGAACTCTGTCTCCAAGTTTTGGAGCAGTACCAGGATCACGTTTTTTCATTTTATTAGCTAATTCAACATGAGCTTGCTTAGCAGCATAATCATTTTTTGTTAACTCTTTGGAGATAACTAACTGCGATATATCAATACGGTTGCATAATAAATCAGATATAATTTGTTTAGCATAGTTAACAGCTCCATCTGGATCTCTATCAATTAACAATTTTTGAAGACAAGTACTCATCATATTGGAAACTAGAGGACAATTGTCTCTTCTTACAGTCTCTATTCCTTTACAATCCATTTTGTCATATTTATCTGGTCTAGTAAAATATAATCCGGCATATCTTTTTTTGTTAATAAGCAAGTATGGATAATATACTTTTTCAAATTCAAGTTTAATAGGTTTTACAAATTTTGCAGAAACAAAATCTGCAGCTTCTTTCCCCAATTCCATACTTTCTTCTAAAGTTTTAACTCCAAATTTTACCATGACAGAATCAGTATCTCCATAAATAACAACAGCATCTTCTTTGTAACCATTTGTTTTTGTATATTTTTTTTCAACTTCAGATTTTGTGAATTCTATCATAGTGCGACCATAAGCTGTAACACTTCCCGATATTTCAAGACATGGCAATTTACCTACTTGTGCTCCTGTGAAACCATATACTGAATTTGCACTTATTTTTAAAGCAAGTTGCCTACCATCAAGGACCGATTTTTTAAAAGGATCTTTCTCTTCCTTCAATTCTGCTTTTGCTTTTTTTCTTGCTGCAAGCAATGACTCTAATATTTCAGGAAGTAAGCCTTTTCGGACATGAGCTTTTACAAACATATTTTTTGATGGTGTAGTAGTAACATCTTCTGGGCTCATGTCTTTTACAGCATTTGGCTGTACAAGAGTGGTATAACATAAATTGTGAGCCATCATAATACTTGGGTATAATGATGCAAAATCTAATGTTGATATAGGATCTGCATAATAACCTTTCTTAGGTTCAATCACTGTCGCCCCTTCAAATTGTTCCTCCGAACCTTTTCCATGATAAGCAGGCATTAAATAACCAGCTTCTTTAGCTTTTCTTAGCAACTGACTTACAACTTTGATCTGTTGGCCCCTGGTTAATAAACATGCTAAGGGGACTCCAGTGACTCTGGCCATTTCCATATAATTAACTATACACATTAACTTATTCAGAAGTTTTAGAGGCAAATATGCATCCTTCAAACAATACATGGCTAACCTTCTTCTGGTCTGCTCACTTTCATTTTGCAAGTCTGAAATTATACTGTGATGAACATCTTCTTTTTGTTCCTGTAGAAAATGGTAACTGACGGCATTAAGAGTATAAGACCTTAGTTTATAATCTCTTACGAGAACTAGTAATAAATCAAAAGGAACTCTGCCTTCAAAATTAATGCTTTTATTTTCTCTACGTCCCATCTGTTTTGATTGCAAAACAGAATCTTTTATTACTGATCTAATGTTTTTGATTCTACCTAAAAAGTCAAAACTAGTAACTTTTAGATGTTTTGCTCTGTTGATAAGATAGGGTAAATCAAAGTTGTTGATATTATAACCTGTAATAATGTCTGGGTCAAGTTCTCGAAAGAAATCCGACCATTTATTCAACATTTCAGATTCAGATGGAAAACTGATAACCTGTGAGCCAACTATAGGAGCACATGTATTCAATGTAAAAACATTTCTTATATAAGGTTCTGTTTCACCCTGTCTAATAACCATTGATGCAATTTGTATTACAGGGTCATGATTAGGTTCAGGGAATACTCCTTTTCTACTTGCACATTCAATGTCAAAACTTAATATACGGAAAGGTGCAACTTTAGACCATTCGCCTTCAGGTTGGTGGGAAATGAAAGAATTCCATGCAACATCTACCTCAATTTGGCATCTGGATTCTGGTTTTAAGGTAGAATGAGGATTTCTTAACAACCACTTCTCAGCTGGCAATTCTATCCAACTGCAACCAACAACTGAAGTATCAACCATGAAACGTATATCAAAATCAATGTTGGTTTCATAAAAATATGGGTCCATCAAACTGAATATGGGAGGATTTTTTTCAATCAACCTCTTTGAAGCAGCAATCAATTTTGGCAATGCAACTGACACTTTTGCAAATACAATGTCATTGTCACCTTTAAAATACATAATAGAGCGAGCTTTTACAAGTCGAACTTCTAAAACACATTCTTGTAGGTCCTCCTTATTAGAACGTAAATCTTCCAAAATAGCCTTATTTAAATTAGTTTTTAAGTCATTACAAGAATTTTCTTTAAAATTTACAGGCACAGTTACATAAAAGTATGGTGAAAATCCATGCACATGACAACATACCGAATTTCCATCTATTGTTATTCCATACATTCTCATGATAGGCACTGGACCCAATTGTGATCCAGGCATGCCTGGTATAGGCTGCCCATTATAGTGATCAATTTCTATCTGTTGAAACACCAACTTATCTTTTTTAGGATCTAATGGTGGTGGTTCGGGCCTACTCCATTTCATATTTGTTATTTGATTCTCTGGACCTTCTCCGACAACTATTTGAGTGTCAAAATCACATTCCATGACAGCTAATTGCTCTTCAAAACTACTTGGCATTTCATTTTCTTCATCGTCCCGAGACTTAAATCTTTTTAGTGGTGGACCTTGGATATGTTTTCTTTTGTCCATTTTTAAATAAAAAAAGAATTACTTATCTATTTGATTAGATTAACTTCTTTGATAATATTAAAATAATTTCCCGCCGAAATCTGTAACGCAGAAGGTCAATTAGAATTAACTGTATATCATGAATGAACGATGAATATGGTAAATAGAATTAATGAAATACGTCTCAGATAAACATATCAACTACAGGATTATTTATTAAATTATTGTATTTTCAAAGAAAAACATACCACACGAAGCCAAAATAATGCGCCGGCAAAATTTGACAATTAAATTTGACATTTCTTGATTTTCATTTTTAATTTTATTTTAAAGTACAGGAGTCTAGTCCATACGTCCAATACGGTATTTCTTCTATTTTTTTTTACTAAAGTTTTAATGTTTGAGTCAATACTTCGTAAGAATTTTTATGCCTACCAAAAGATGCATGTGCAATAACTCCACACACTTTTCTTCATTAAAACTCACGCTCCGTATTATTTAATTTAATTATACATACCTTTTATAGATTTTTATGAAACTTGTGTTGCTAAATGACTCCACTATTATAAACTAAAACTCACTTCAAACAATAAAAATGTAATAAATGAAACGGATATCATACGATTCTGGCTGATTTTCGCCAAAAACATTTTATTGACTTTGACATTTTTTAATATAATAAAAGTTTTAGTTCTGAATGCGATTCGTGATCTTTAGATAAGGTTCATTAGGTACTAAGATAATACTGTTCCCGCGAATTCGCCCACATAGCTTCTATTATTTTATTTTTAATAATGAGGATGTTTTAAAAAAATATAAAGAAACTAAAAAAATATATCGCTGATTTGCGACAAGAACGTGTTAACGCAAATATGTATCGTTATTGAATGATAATACAGTAGAATTCGGCGCATCGCGCTCTACTTGCTGCTAAAACGCGATATTTCTAGCGCCGAAAATGACCGAGTAATGAAGGAAAAGGATGGCGACTATCGGTTTAGCGCTATCTCTTTCCGCTCCTAAGTTCAATGCAAGATCGGTTCATGTCAGTTGTCGCCGCTCGCTTGAGGAGGAAAGTGCTGCCTGGTTGCGGCAAAAATGTAACAGCTCATGGTGTCACGGTTTTGTTGAAATGGTAACTACAGCTTTTTGTTTTTTTGGTGATTTATTTTTGCAGCTATAACGGGACATTTGTATGTGGCTCATTATTGTAGTAAAAATAGTAATCGCATGCTATGGTTTACAAAGGATTGTAACGTTGTTGCTGAAATAAACAATTATTTTTGTTGGTTAATTTGAGATGTTCTGTTACAGTTGATAATAAAAGTATAAAATGTTCGGTACTAATGTTGGTTATCTCAAATTAACACTTTCTTGATAAAAAATAATACAATTTTACAACGAATAGCTTACAATGTTGCATTATAAATGATAAAAATATTGAAAATTTATTTACTGAAATTCCAGTCTTAATTACACAATCTTTGAATTCCTCTTCCACTGTCACTGAATCTATTTTAAAGACAAGTTTAATTATAATAGCCAATTTCACTTTCAACACATTGATTTTAACGATATAATAAAATCTTTTAATCAGCTAAAGAAAAGAAAACCGCTGATTTATGGGATAATTCCATTGAAGTTTCTAAATCGGTAATTGAGACAATAGCTCCAATCCTAGCTTATATATTAAATGAATGTACTGATTGTGGTATTTTTCCTGAGCTCATGAAATATAGCAAAATTATTCCTTTACATAAATCGAGTAGCACATCTGACCCAACTAACTTTAGACCTATATCCGTGCTACCTACATTTAGTAAGATTTTTGAAAAAATCATGCTGGATAAAATACATACATACTTTTACATGAATAAGCTTATGAATCGACTACAATTTGGTTTTACAATACAAGGGGTCGCTCAACAACCGAAGCCGGTGTCGAGTTAATACTAGAAATTTTTAATGCCTGGGAGGATTCACATGATGCCTTAGGTGTTTTCTGTGACCTATCTAAGGCATTTCATTATGTTTTTCATGAAACATTGATTACTAAACTTCATTTTTATGGATTTAGAGATAACTCATTGGATTTTATTGTCTCGTACTTGACTGACAGAATACAGAGGGTTGATACCAATGGCAAAAGATCCCCTGGGTCGAAAGTTAAGATGGGTGTTCCGCAGAGCTCAATACTTGGTCCTTTCTTGTTTTTGATTTATATAAATGACTTGCCTTATTTCGTAAGGAATGATCACGAAATAGTTTTCTTTGCGGATGACACTTCACTTTTGTTTCAAATTAAAAGAGGGTTACCTCTAAATGACGATGTGAACAATTCTATCGCTAAAGTAGTACATTGGTTTAATGTAAATAATCTTCTTCTTAATGAAGGAAAAACAAAATGCCTAATATTTGTACTACCTAATGTTAAAAAAGTAGATATAAATTGTGGATACCACGGTATTTTAAGGAATAAAATTAGATTTTAAACTACAGTGGGGCCCATATATTGATAAATTGTCGAGTAGACTTAGCTCTGCAGCATATGCCGTAATGAAAATACGTAGGTTAACTGACATAGATACTGCCAGATTAGTATACTTCAGTTACTTTCATAGTGTAATGTCGTACGGAATCCTATTGTGGGGAAGTGCTGCCGACATACAAACAATTTTTGTTCTTCAGAAAAGATCAATTAGATCAATTTATAATCTTAGGATTAGGGACTCTTTAAGGGAGAAATTTAAGGAAATAGACATTATGACTGTTGCTTCTCAATACATATACGAGAACTTAAAGTACGTTCGTAAAAATATTTGTTTGTCTTCTATAAAAAGTGATATACACAATTTTAATACAAGAAATAAAAATAAATTAACGGTGCCTGTCACTAGACTGCAAAAAGTTAATAACTCATTGAAGGGTCGTTGTGTGCGCTTCTACAATAAGGTCCCAAGTAAAATACAACAATTAGATATCATGCAGTTTAAATCTACTATAGAAAAAATACTTATTAAAAAAGGTTATTATAAAGTATCCGATTATATAACAGATAAGAACGCTTGGACTTGAGGTGATCCAGCAACTGGATAGGTGATTACTTCGTAACCCATTATCTTGTTTTCATTATTATTAAATGATTATGTTATCATTATAAGACCATAGTTTTTTTTTCTATCTCTGTTTATAATGTATTGATCTGGTAATGACATGGTTTTTGTAAATGTCATTACTCTTATTAGAGCTGGTTTCTTGCTCGTTCTTCTTATCAGCCAAAACATCCTGAACGAGTGGTAGGGAAAAAAATGTTGGACGATTCAAAAGTATTTTTAAGAAGTCTATTTGAATAAAGATTATTTTGACTTTGACTTTGATTATTACTTGTATTTCAGCGAAAGTTACACAATAACTTCGCTAAAATATCTCTCATTTTGTAAAACAGAATACAAAAATAAAGAGATTTCTACGACAGTAACATGTCTTTATAAAAATGTTCCATGCCTTTATATTAGAAATTATCAATAAAAACGTAACAATACGACATAACTTGTAAAGGTTTAGATTTAAATCCATTTTTTTTTTCATGAAAATCGGTACATATCTGTTTGTTCTGCAATACTGGATTATTTTTACAAGAATAACGCAACAAGGAGGACCCTTTTTTAAATAAATAATCATAATAAATTTAATAACTAACTTAAAGGTCTGAATGCAATTTGATCCAAAAACCGAAAACCTTGAAGTTATGTTGTATTGAGCTGAACAGGCTTAACAGAATAATTAAAAAGTTACAGGAATTTGAAACTTTCAAGAGCGTTTTATCACAAATTGAGATTTTTACTTTGTCACGTTCTTGTCGCAAATGAGCGATATGTCACCTACTAGATATCGCTACAATACTTTCTGGATTTCTTCATGACAACCCTTCCGGTTTTCTTATAAAAGTAAAATTATTTGTGCTTTTTCGTATTTGCATTGATATCTAAGTTTCGAACTTTGCAAAGAGTCATATCTAATTTTGACCTAAAAATGTGATATATCTCAAAATGTAGCTTATTTTTTAGTTATTTCATATCATGTAATAAAGTATTAAAATAAAGTTAGGATAAAAATTGCGAGGTTGATAAATATTTTTAAAAGTTAACCTTATTCGATTCAGACCACAGAACATGGAACAGAAGTTAGAAAGGCGATCATGCCTTTCTACGAAAACCGATGTCGCCAGTCTTGCCCCACTTTTCGTCCTCCTTACATGAGACGAAATATTACAAAAGATATTACCAATTATACATAAGATATCCTCACACTTGCATTTTAAACATGCCAACCAGAACGCTCCAATATAACTATAACCAATCACGCTCAACCAAAACAGACATCTAGAGTGCGTAATAAACGTGTAATAGCCATTTTAATTTGACATTTTTTTACGTTACGTTACTCGATTGCGTATGAAGTAAACAGATAAGATCGGCAACATTGCTTAAATGAAACTAGTAATATTGACAAACAATATAATGTAAATAAATGTATACAAAATAAAAAAATACAATTAGTACAATAAATGCTATTGGAATTTACCCCGAACGGATTCCGATGATTTAATAAGGATTGTTGTTAATGGTTCAAAATAATAAAAAACAAAAACTAATCTTCTGTTACAATATTAAGAATATAAAAAAATATTATTTCGTTACACCACACTCATTATTAGATTAATATACTAACGCATATCAAACGAAGTCAATATGATAGTCAAGAATAGGGTTATATTTTATTTATTGCTATTGTTAATCTCTGATTAAATTTATCTTTTATTTCCTTACTTTTATTTAGTTTTTACTAACTAACACACCAAGAATCGATTAAATGTTTCCAGGCACTTCACTAGCCATCTACCGTAATCTATTATGTTATTATTTAAAACGGTGATTTCGCAAAGTTTTTTAGATTACGTGCTTAGTAGCACGCGTAATAAATATGCGTACTTCTCCAGCAATGTATATTTTCTTGGAAATATTTTTTGTGATTCACACTTTTGATAACATTTCACGAATTTCGACTAAAAATACTAAATTTGAGAAGTGTTCTACTTACTAATGGACAAAAATCCTTCCTTTGGACCTACTTGAGGATGGGCTACTATTTTTGTGATTAATAACTGCGCAAGTCGGCATTTTTTACATTTTTAGTGGCGCGTTTCACAGTACTTACAGCGCGCGCGTTCGTGAATGACTAAACATTACGATCGCGTGAAGTCACGATCCTGTATATTTGTCCAGGATCGTGGCTACACTGCCACGCCCACAAGGCCCTTCTAACGTCTTTCTGTGTTCTGTGATTCGGACCGTACAATAACATTTCGCTGCATTACCCCAATGCGATTCGGACCGTACAATGACGATTGTTGCTACGTTTCGTTTCATGTACTACGGAAATATATTCTTTCGTCATAAGGTTAAAAAATGCACATTAACGATTATATTTCCACATTTACGAGTCAAACTATAGATGAAAAGATGCTCTACTGAGAATTAGGTGTCATTGCTGTACTTTTAAAATGGGATTTTGGTTTTTGTTATGTTTGTAGTCTTTATTTTTCCGATTATTTTCAAACAAAGTAAGTTTCGTTTTCAATTTTGCGGCTTTTCCA